ATATCCTTGAGCCTTCTTGATCCTTCTTGAGCCCGACTTTCTTCGCTGCTCTGCTGCTTGTGCAGTGGACTTTTTGGTGCCGTTCCTGTGCCGTTCCTGTAGACCTGTCGCAGACCTTTGTGTAGGCACATAATGATGCTCGTACGGGTTTGCTCATTTTCGTTTTCTTTGACATCCTTCTTTATTTTCTTCCCAGCTGAGATTGTCCATGCTTTGACAGGTCGAGGATTCCGATGGCAGAGCATGGCCTGGAGTCCTGAGGCCGGCATGGCCGGCTTGCGGAACCCTTTGAATTTGAGGAGTTTGAAGAGTTTTGATGGGGTTGAGGAGTTTCGATGGGATTTTTCATGGGGTAGTAAGGACTTGATGCTTCAGACTTCGGCTTGCACTAAAATGAGCGCGGCGTCTCGTCGCCGAACTTCTCTGAGGAAATTGTTTCTTCTTGAAGCCTAATTACTGGCGACGTCAGCCGAGCCTTTGCAGGTCTCGCCCAAGTCCCGGAGCGACGAGAGCCAAGAAGGTGGGAGCCCAAACGCCCCTGTGACTTCCACCACTCTTCCACCATCGTCCACTCGCCGGACCCGGGGAACTCTAGGGCCAGTAAGGCCTAAATCATCTGCTGCGCTGCGGCGCCCAGGGAGATCCAAAATTCTCAGCTATCTCTGGTGAATGCATCCCTTGCGAGATAAATGAGATCCACAGACTGTCAGGTGCTCCTTGTCCGAGCGCGGAGTCATCCGCTGTACAGAGGACATGGATCTATGTCGTCAAGAATGCGGCGCTGCTTCATATTTCATGCATCTATCGGTTCTCTGGCTCAGACGCAGAGCTGCGAGGAGTTTCTCCTCCGAGTCGCCAGGCCCGCGGTTGCTTCGGGCTGGCCATCAAAAGTCACCTTCAAGCGCGTAGCGTAACACACGTGCTACTTCAGAAGCTCCCTTGCTTCGGGTATCGTTGCGTCTTCGTGTGGCAGACTGGCGGACACTTGAAGCTCAGCACCTGTGGCGATATCTGGTGAGCTTGTTGCGATGTGGACTTGGCCATAGCCTGCCAGGTTGGTCACCAGCCGCTGCACACCGCTTCAGCAGCTTCCCCAGCGAACTGGAGAGTGACATTCACTTCAATGCCACTTTGCAGACGTCGGAACCTATGGCTTCGAATTTGCAATCTGTGCTGTGAGATTGCGTGTTTTGTGCCGAGGCTGGAGTGCAGCACCTTCTCCTACTCGCATTTCGCCTGAGAAACAGCGCGGACCCCACAGTCATTGGACCATCACGAGGGGCGCGTGAAAATGCGAAGCTTGGGTGAAACTGACGATGACGGAGATCTTTCAAAGCTTTCAATGCACCGAACAGGCTGACAACATCAGAGCCAACATCCAGGAATGCTCACATTGCTTTAGTTCGCCACATTCTATCCTTAAGCCGTGGTTCATGAGCAGCATACGTCAAGGGGCGACACTCCGACATTCCTGGCTGCACCATATTTGTGTTTTTTTTCCGCTTCTGTTCTTGAACGATCTCAGCCGCTGGAACGATCTCAGCCGCTGCAAGAGTTTTCTTTCGCTGAGGCTTGAGGTGGCCGTGAACGCCGCTGCTCTTCTGCAGGCACCTCCAGGGCCTCAGATCTAGATCGGATGTGCAGTAACTTGCAGGAGAACATCTCGAAGATGATTTTGAGTGTAACGTCAGACGGCGGAGCAAGTTGTGAGTCGCGGTTTCGTGAAGGATGGATTCAGGACATGTGACGTGGCCTTTTGAGATCGATCTGCCTCTCGTCTGTCTGTGTCTCTAAATCGTTCTAAATCTTTCTAAATCTCTAAACTCACTGCCTCCCTCTGTCTTGCTCTCTCTCTCTCTCGCTCCCTGTCTCTGTCTCTCTCTCTTCTCTCTTCTGCGCTTTTTGTCTGTGTCTTTGGCTGGTTGCCCAAACCCTTTTCTTTCGGGACAGGCCTGGTGGCGTGGAACACAGGCGCGTGATTCAATCAATGCCTTCGCTAGGTCAGCTTACTGCAGCTTGAGAGTGATTGAGGCACTTTCCGTTGTGCCCCGTGTGCATGCGATGTCACCGGCAACAGCCGATGTTTAGATTCGGTTTGGTGGGGATTGAGGGCTCAAGACGATTTTCAGTTTGCCAGGTGCGGCGCGCCGCACGGAGGAATGCTGCGTCTGCGCTGCTTGCAGCGCACTGGCGCGCATGGAAGCGGGGCAGTGAGGACTGATTTGCCTTCCATCCTGTCCATCATCATCATGATGATGATGATCATCATCATCATACCGAGCAAGGCCTTTCGAACATGTTTTCAAGAAGCAGGCAGCTTATGTACCATGCTTCCCAGCATCTCCTGACACCACATACCACGTTGGTATTTTGCAATAGGGAGTCCTCTGCCTTGAGGACCGTCGCCAGATCCTGAAACTCGTTTGGGCCATACGGTGGCTGCAGGCAGCCTGGCGACGGAAGGCTTGGCACTGATATGATTCATTGTGGATGGACAAGTCATTGTTGACAAGTTGGAAAAACGTGCTACCCAATGGCTCTTGCTCTTTGGCGGCATGCACCCGCCGTACAAGAGTGTTTTCCGCTCTCGCACTGTGTGGATCTGAAACCCAAAGCCGGCAGGCCAGACTCAGAACCGACTTGTCCATATGGCAGCCCGATGTTCGCCTTGAGCAGGAGGAGTGCACTGTGTGTTAAGGCAAAAGCTGCAGCAGGATTTTTGTCCCGCGGTGATGCAACAAGTTGCAACTGTCATGGCCAGAGGGGCTTTGGGTTTAGCCTCAACGAACAACAAACAGGTCATTTGATCGTCAGGGCTTGCAGCTGCCTGGTGAGAATCGTAGCCTTACTCTGCAATAAACGTTCGCATTCTGTGGCATTATTCTTCTTGTGGATGGTTCCCTCGTATGCAAACCGACCCATGTCGACCCCCTTGGCTTTTCAGTCATGCTGTAACTCCAGCCTTCAGCGAAGGTAAGATTGGTGCTGTGAGGGGCTCGTGGTTTTGGCACAAACTGCTTGGAGAGTCGAATGCCCGCCTGAACTTTACCTGAAGGGCCTGACTCAAGCCGGCGCAAGCCAGCGTTCAAGGATTCAGCAAGTGCAAAGCAGTTTCAGAGAGTCGTGGTGTGAAAGCTGCAGGAGCCCCTGCTGCCTGCCGACCAAAGCGAGCCCGCAGATGAGGAGTGGAGTTGGACGGTGGTCACTGCTGATTGGCTTTGCTGTTACACCGCATCTGCTGGCTGTGCCCAAGCAGTGCAGGAATGTCAGGCCGTGCTGCCGGTACTACTGCAGTCAAAGGAGGGGGGCTATGAAAGTGCATTCAAGGGCTGAAGAGTCTTTGAGCCCCGTTGCCTTTGGTGCTTGGCGTTCGCAGAAGTGTATGAAGAGTGGAGAGGCCCGCATCGCAGATGAAGTCCTGGCCGACCTCGACTCACTGTCTCTCAGCTGCAGCTCGGAACTCCACTGTCGACGCACCATCCACCTTGATCGCCCGACCTCCGACGCTTGAAAGGTGCTCAAAGAAAGCACAGGCCCCTGACATGGTCGTCGGCGCAGGCCGTGGTTGAACCAAGTTGAACCTCATGCTTGAATCTCCGTACAACAGCACGTGTTCCCGGCAATTTGTAGATGTGTCGAAGCACGATAGGAGCTACCACCATCCGTTTGCGCCTGTGACCATGCAGGCTCCGTACCGCTGCGCTCAGCCCTTCGTGGTGCTGCCCGCCGCAAGATGCTTGGAGAGGCGGAGGCCGGCCCGGATGAGTCCCGGAAGAAAGCTCAAAGCTCAGTTCCCAGCAAAAGGGCAAGTTGGATGCACCGCATGCGAGCCATGTGTGCAGGTCGACTGAAATTTAAAATGAGCGTCACCTTCTGTGACTTGTACGCCAGGACCGACCGCGGCTGATGCGCGCGCAGAGCCCCATGGGTCCAAGCACCCAGGACACTTCTGAGGTCATGAGGTCCTTAGTACACCGTACCGTGCCCTTTGGCGTGCCTTGGGGGTGCCACATTCTAGTGCGACAGATCCGTGGTGGAGGCTCTGCCTGATCCTTGCAACTCTGGGGCGTATTCCGGTTTGTTGAAGCCAAAGGTCGAAGTCCCCAAGGCCGACGGAAGAGTTGCGGTGGCTGTCTTACAGACGCTGGCAGCCAGGAGCGTTGCAGAGCGTAATTGCGTGACTGTTTTCTTTCCCCGGCTCTTTGAAAATGCAGGCCAATCTCCACTTTTCTTCCCTCAGTATTTTCAAGGGTGCTGGTTCAAAGCATGTTGGTGCATCTTGGACTCGGGAACTCGGGAACTCTTAGCTTGAGGTACGGGGCCCGAGCAGAACCTCAGGTCCCAAAGCTCTGCCCGTAACCTGGCAACCCTTAGCCCGAACCGTTGCTTGGGCTTTCTCTTTAGTCCTTGCCTAGCTTTAGTCAAGCGGATTCAGCTGTTACCTGGATGTTGAATACTTTTCTCTCAAGACATGTGTTTTTCTTTTGAGAAGCTCGTGGAATGTACAGGGTCAATGCTTGCGGCAGCACAACGGCGATTTGCGATGATTGAACGCCTGTACCACCTGTGAGCTGTCGCGAATATCAAGGGCTTCTATGGGAGTGACACTGTACATGCAAGTCCGGGTGGTAGGTCCCCCACCCCAGGCTCGCCGGCCACGTCCGTTGGCCCGACGCCCGAGCGTCGGCGAGGTCACGAGGCAGGTGCTTGGCCGCATTCATGCTGTAGTTTTGTTCTCACAAGGTTCTCTGCAAAAGTAACAACATGACATCGGGATGGGGTCTGCAGCCACGGGGGTATGGATGAAGCTGCTGGAGTCCTGTAGCCGCGGGGTTCGAGAGGCCTCAGACGGCCAGAGCTTTGTTTCCCCCATGTTTCTGGCATGGCATGATCGCAGAACCGGTGCAAGCTGGTTCTAGCCTGAAACCTTCAGGATGCTACAGAGTGCGTGGCAGTCAGATAAAAAGAAAACATTGGCAAACATGGCCGACATGGCCGACATGGATGAGCTGCTCCGCTCCGGGCGGCGCTTGCTCCGGTTCCTGGATGCGACCCTCAGCAACAGCCATGCCAGGGAGTAGTTTAGTGACGTAGTATGACGTAGTCTGACATTGTATGCCCCTGCCGCCTCCCCATCGTTTCCAAGGTTTTCAGTCCCAAATTCAGACGCTTCCTGTTGCCCAAACTACCTCGCAGCAAATTGAGAAGAAGCTGAGGAATAATGATGGGCTCCTCTCTGTGGAGGAGTGCCAACACTTGCAGGACATCGGGCATTGTGAGTGCAAGCAAGCTGTTGCTAAGCCTGGTCTAAGTATCAGGGTCATGTCGAGAGAGCCATGTGTGGCGAAGTAGAGGTGCCTCAGGGCCGCTGCTCAGCAGAGCATACCATGGCCCGGTTGTGGTCTTGAGCAGCCGTTGCGAGGAGGACTTGTGGCTGTTCCCGACAAAGGACGCGTTCCTCGAAGTCCTCGATCCCCATGATAGCTTCCCGTCTTCATCGCGATACCATGCATATGCTCGTTCATTTGCACAGGCACAGGAATGTACAGGACGAACCGTTGGGGTGTCAAGCTGTCAGCTGCAGTGCAAGGCGAGTTTCTGGATGCCGATGCATTGTGGCAGCTCCTGTCCGACAGGCGCGATACCAATGCAGAGTTACAAGCATTGCAAGGGGGGCGGTCCAGGTTGATTGCCCCAGAGCCCAAAGAAGACTCCCTCAGCTCGGACACCATGGCCTGATCACAACTGACAACTTGTGAGAATCCCTTCCCCCCCATCGAGAACTCCGGATTCGTGGCCGGAATATCCAGGGTCTCGGGCCCGTAAACTTAAAACAGTCTTAAAACTTTAGCTGGCTGTGATTGTTTTTTTATGAATTGTAGTTTGATCTTTAGGTCATGGAAACCGCTCAAATCCGCCCTCTAATACCTTAGTTTTTTTTTTGGCCCCCCGGGGCGAGGGGTGTTCAGGGATTAGCTCATGGAAGGCTGGAAGCGGACCCAAGCCATGGACAGGCGCCAAGCGCAGCATGCAGCTTTCAGGGCTTCTAGGCTTTCAGGGCTTCTCGGCATGGCGTGGAGTTCGGTGTCAACAGGCTGAAAGCTTGCACGGAAACAACGCTGAGATCTGTCGGAATCTGTCGTTCCGGTTTCAGGAGTGGTTGAAGGGCCAGCTTCCGTCATTGAAACGGCTCTACACGCCGGGACCTTACTTTTTGCGACTCACTTCGAAGCTCGAGCTGCCTTGCCGCATCTTGAGTTGGCTTTGCAGGACGCGGCGATCGAAGTCGAAGCTTCTGGAAAGCCCACAAGGCTTGGTCATTGCGTGGTCACGAGCGCCAGCCGCTGTCAGAAATGGTCTCAGAGGGCCTCAGGCATCAGAGAATCACAGGTCACTGTCACTCTCACTGCGACCCTTTGGCCCTTTGGCCGAAGGAAGCCCTCTGAGCCCCTCGCGGAGCCCTTCGCCCTCGCGGAGCCCTTCGCGGAGCGCTTCGCGAAGCGTTTCTCGGATGGCTTGGAAGCCAACCTCGCTGGAAGCAGCTTGGGAGGACCCTGGCAAGTGCTCAGGGCAGGGGCGAAACATGCCACTGTAAGCTCAGAAGGCAAAGATGACATGCTCACATCAGCTGCCAGGACTTCTGCCAAGATTCTCGTCTGCAAGCGTGGGTTGAGACCGGGAAATCTGGCGAGTGTGGCATAAGATTTGACCAAAGGAGTCGAACCAGCCGTCTGCTACTGTCTGTCTACTTAGGCCCTTCAGGTTACAGACATCACTGCAGCTTTTTCCAAGCTTTGCGCTCATCTCAACGGTGACCCGCTGAGCAGCCCCAACCTCAGCTTGCTAAGTCTTTCGAGACGGAGCCATGTTTGCTTGCAGGCTGCATAGGCTCAGGACATGATTCAATGAACCGGTCCACCCTTCACTTCCTTTACTTCCTTCATCTCCTGTGCCAGGCACTAGTCACACTTCTGTGGTCTTGTACGAGAAGCTTGTGGCCAGGCTTGGAATGCCGGGGCAAGGTTGATGGCGGCTTGTAGGCGGCGTTAGAACACTGCACGGAGAGAAAGGTCAAGTCACATGTTAACAAAAGCAGTAGTTAAGAAGACTACACGTCAGCCTTCAGCTGGCAGCCATTCAACGGTGGAAGAAGGCAACTCCCCGAACCCGGCGAGGGCAAGAACTAGGGGACTAGAAGCGAACGCGAGCGAATCGCAGATGAAACTACTTAGCAACTACTTGCAAGGCTGTGAGGACGGGCTCGAAATTTCAAATATTGCAAGCAACGGAACTTCGGTTGTGCGTCGCTCGAATATGTCATGAGACATGTCATTCACAGGGGAAATATCTGTAGTCTGCAGAATGCAAGTCGTCGAGAGGACGTCCCCCGTTTTGCACACCGACATGTCGACTGCGGAACAAGCCGCTGCAAGTCCAAATGGCTTTACGCGCGGGCGGCGTTTTGGGGCCCTGATGCTCCAGTCCACACTTGAGGCGCCCAATCATTCGGCGCACAAAATAGGCCAGAGGTACCACAACACAACATGGGAGTAGCCAGGAATGGAGCCCTGGGAGCCTTAAACATTTGGAGACGGGAAGACTCGCAAAGCTGTGGAAAGGTCAGCTTGGCCCACAGCCACTTAAAGTTTTGAGCTGTCTGTTGTATTATGACATAGAGACAAGAAGACCACCCCAATGCAAGAGCACGCCAAGACTAGAGAGCACGCCGACAGCATTCCAAAAACACTCCGCGGGCCTCAAAAGCGGATTACTATTGCTATGATATATGGAGATATATGGAAGCTGGTCGCTGTTCTTCCTCAAAATTAGTAGATAGATAGATAGATAGATAGATAGATAGATAGATAGATAGATAGATAGATATATGTATGTATGTATGTATGTATGTATGTATGTATGTATGTATGTATGTGTGTGTGTGTGAATCGATTCGGCTTGCTCACGTGTCGCTGTCGCTGTGCAGACTGTCCTCGGTGTCAATTCCACGGTTCCAGCGGCAGAAGGGTGCAGGCCCGCGCAGTCCATGGCCAGAATCCGGAGGGCTGTGATCATCTTCTTAAAGTCTTAGTGTGAAAAGGCTTGAGGCCGAAAGCCACCCTGCCTTTCACCTCCTTACTGACCTGGTGCCAGCGACTTCAAAGTATTCGAAGTTTGCACCGAATTCAGTTCTCATTGTACTAAATAGTTGTAGAGGGGCTGCTGGTTTGTCGATTTGCGAATGTGAGCTATTCGGCGTGCCTACATCTGTCCCGTTGAAACGAGTTACATCTGGCGACAGGTGGGTATCCTCTGCACGACGCTCGCTTGGGTGTTATCGGTGCCCTGCCGATTGAAGGCATAGCATGGGACTGAACTCCGTGCTTTCAGCCTTCCAGGTGGGCGCACGGTACGTAACCGACTTCGTTGTCGACCGATCTTAACAAGGGATGCTCTACAAGTCCTTGTCTTCACCTTTACAGTATTTCTACAAATTGACCATGTAGCAGCAAGTAGAATGGTCTGCTGAAGATTTGTGAAAGTTGCTCCAACGACATAGCACTTAGTGCGAAAGTTCTGCCGATGTGGGTGGCGGTTTCGTTCCTCATATGTCCATCCGAGCCGGTGCGAGGAGTGACCTTGGACTTGAGGGGGGATGCGGAAATACGAACGGGGGTTGCATCGAGTTACATCGGCGTATTCAACCGGAAGGGCCCTTGCGAAGCATCGGCACGCATGGTCAGGGCAAGTCCCCAACGTCGAGCGTCAATTCCGTGCTTCAGATCTCACATGTGCGTAATGGAAGCATCCTCGTTCGTGGGGTCTCATGCTTGCATGCGTTGGCTTTTCCACTGCTTTCCTCTCCATTCAAGGGGCACAGTTGCAGATTCAAGCTGCAGTGCTGCTTTCTGAGCACAGCTGCAAAGTTGCACTTGCCCCAACGCAGGGTGTGTGTGCGCGCATCGTTTTCAATCGAGAACAGGTTGGAAGTTAGATGCCGCCGGGGGGGGGGAGGGGGAGGGGGTGAGAGAAATGGTGGCTTGACCAAAGCACAGCACAGCTCTGATCTGTCAAGGCAGAAAAAACATCGTAGCAACGGAGTTGCGCGCCCTCAAACCAGTCGAGGTGTCAAAGCGAACGAGTTGTGGAGGTGACGACTTCTCTACACGCGCTGGTTTCAAGCTGGTTTCCTAGTTCCATAAACATGAGGTGATCGTACCGTGAGTAGCAAAACATACTGGTACACAACGCATACTGTAAGGAGTCTGTGCAGCACTTTGCAAATCTTGGAGAGCCTTAGTTCTTGCCTTCAAAGATCAGCCTTGTCGTGATGTGGCAGCTTGCTTCTTCCCAGGTGCTGGGCCGATTGGCCTACGGACTGCTCTAGAGCTAGCGCTGCTGGGTGCAAAGGCCAGAAAAAAGAAAGGTCGCGCAGTCCAGAGCGCCGCGTCCGTGCCGTGCTTTCAAGGTTCAGGTTTTCGATGTTCGGGACGGCTTCTACCGCCCGCCACCCAGAGTACCTGCAGTGCAAGGCAGTGTAGCACAAGGAGCAGAAGCGGACGTACCTGAAGCAGGGCTTGTATATGCCACCATGTGCCGCTGCAGGCATGAACATCCTGAAGCTTTGGGACTGGGCCTCTGCCGACCTTCTGGATCTGGGAGCAAAACACTTGCTCCCAAATTTCCTGACTTACGTTGCGCCTTGGATCATTGGAGCACGAAAAGGGAACGGGCAGTCAGATTCTAGTCCGGCCTAGGAAAGCGGGGAATCTGCAAAGGAAGAGTGACCCCGAACGTCTGGTCCATCACCTGTCTCAGCCTACTGGGGCGAGAAGCCTGTATAGATCCGCATGTCTCCTTTTGCCCTAGTCCAAGGATCACATCGGGATCCGTGAGCTGCAGTCGCTGCTGTTAAAGCTGGGCCTGCTTGCCGGAGTCCGGTATACCTGGAATGCCAGCTTCAAGGACTGCCCATTTCAAGCCCTTCGACCCTTGGTGCCCACGGAAGCTGTCCGGTCGTCACGATGTCACACAGAAGCATGGCTGTTCCCCGTTGCCAGGAAGTGAGTCCGCCGGCCTCCCAGAGCTGAGTGCTACTGTACGGGGACAAACAGAATCAAAGAGACACAAAGCGACACAAACAGGTTGCTGATGCCTGATGACGCACACGCCACGGGTGCAAACAGCTGCGGGTGGAAAGCATAGCACAAGCTCATGAGGTCGTTCTCCATGAAGTATTTGCGCGTTACCACGCAGATGGCATCGGTGGATTCGCAGGGGAGACGGACTTTGGGAGCCTTGGTCATTGAAGTTTGTCGTTGCGGTCCCCGATTTTTTCGGGGCTTATGCGGGTGTTCGGTGCATCGGTACTGTTTGCGAATAGACACGACATCACACACGATATCACGCACGATTGGGTATGTTCAAGGCGTGGACGAGACCCACAGCTTTTCCAGCCTGGTCGCTTGTGATGGCGGTGGCAGCAGGCTGAAATGCAAGCCAGAAGTCGCCCCGACTTTCTGAGTTTCCTCTCAGTACGTTTCAGGATGGTCCCTATAGAGCCCTAGAATATCCTAGAATCCTTCCCAGAGGGTCGCCACGCAGCTCGGCCTCCAGCGAGTACGAGCCGACGGCCTTACCACAGAGCCAGGCGACCCGAGCCTGACTCTTCTGGTTTCGATTCGGATGACTCGGATGGCTCAGATGACTGTGTTGAGAAGTGGAATGATATGTTGCGATGTATCTGCCCCTTGTGTAGAACTCTGCCATTCTGTCCCTTGTTCTGTGGTTCGTTCACAGATCAGCTTGAGCAGCCAACTCTATCCTGAAGCAAGCCTGAAACAAAGGTCGTGCCGCCGGAGAAAGGCTGGAACTAGTCGGGTAAACAGACAAACAAAGGACGCGCCCGAACCCAGATAGATGCCTTGCAGGTTGGGAGTTTGCTGTGGCCTCTCGTCCCGCAATCAGAAGACATGGCGGATCGTTGCTTCTACAGGGTCATTGTTGGCTCAGTGCTCCAACTTGGCTACCAGTTTGTGCATTCCTTCACATTCGTTATTCGTTCAAAGGTGGTTGCGGTAATTTCGAGGCATGCACGCTTTCTGCAAATAATCCGCTAGCCGCTGGCCTTCAAGGTTGCAAACTTCGTAAATCTGATGGAGCCGGACGATCGCTTGTTGGAAGAATGCTCTCAGACAGCACTGGCATCTGCCATGTTGTTGTGGTTCATGGCATGGCACGCTTGGCACGCGTCGTGTCTGACTAACGATCTGGCCTTAACAAAGTTTGTAGCTTGTGCGGCTTCATGCAAGGCCCCCGCGGTTTCTCTGAAGAGGAGTTGTCGCTTGTGAAGCGGCTCATCTATCTGCAAGGCACGTTGACGAAATCAAGTTGTCATAGAGCTTCCCAGCTGTGGGCCCTCCCTGGGAGAATGCATCAGTGACAGCTGCAGAGGCAATGGGCCAGAAGGGTGGGTACCGGCGAACAACGAAAAACTACCGGCGGACAACGAAAGATGTCTCATAACAACGAAAGATAACAACGTAAACGGCCCGCCAGCATCGATCCAGGTCCGGCGGCAACCATCCCCTTCCGGCGAGCAACGAAAAACCCTTCTGCCGAGCATCGAACGCCTGCCGCCCAGCATCGAAAAACCTTCCGCCGAGCATCGAAAAACCTTTTGGCCAAGCATCTCAAACTCTGTAACCTTTGCAGGAAGACCACCATCGATACTTTTTAAAAGCCGTGCAAGCTTGCTTCAAATCAGATGATTTATGTTTACCCATCATGCGATCATGGTGTTTGCAAATGGGGGGCGCTGCACCCCCTCCCCCCCCCAACCCCCCCAACCCCCACCACCTTTCAAGCCGTTCAAGCTTGCTCCAAAGCACATGAAGCCCCTTCAACCCACCACGCGATCAGTGTGTTTGCAAATGGGGGGGGGGGTCTGCACCCGCCCCCAACCCTCCACTTTTTGTAAGCTCTGCAAGCTTGCTTCAAATCGTATGAGTTTTTTCCAACCCATCATGCGATCATTGTGTTTGCAAATGGGGGGGGGCTGCGCCCCCCCCCAACCCCCCCGCTTCTTTAAGCCGTGCAAGCTTGCCTCAAAGCATATGAGTCGTCTTGTTCAGCCCATCGTGCGATCATTGTGTTTGCAAATGGGGGTGGGGGGGGGGGAGGGGGCTGCGCCCCCCCCAAACCCTCCTGCCTCAAATCAGATGAACCTCTTTTTTTAAGCCATCATGCGATGATTGTGTTTGCAAATGGGGGCCGTGCAAGCTTGCTTCAAAGCAATGAGTCTTTTTCCAACCCATCGTGTGATCATTGTGTTTGCAAATGGGGGGGGGGGGGCGGGCTGTGCCCCCCCCCGCCGGCGCCCCGCTTGTTTTAAGCCGTGCAAGCTTGCTTCAAAGAATAATGGGTGGTTTTTTGGCCCCCCCCAGCCCCCCCCCCCCCCTGCAGGCTTGCTTCAAATCATGTGAATCTTTTCTTCCTATAGACAAAATGCAAGTTTTGCTATGGACATATAGAGAATTTTAAATGGAGGTTTGTTGTCCTATGTAAATGCACACCAATAGAGCGTTCCCTTTGTAAATGTAGAGACAATCATGGTTTTCTACGGAAACATGTTTCCGACGGAAATATTGACGGTTTTCCTATGAAAATATAGAGAACCGCCTGCCCCCCCCACCACCCCCGCCCACACAACACAACCCCTCCCCCCCCAACAAAAAAAAAAACAACGACCACCCCATGTCATCGTCTACATGGGACGTTGTCAAAGAATGCTGTTGGGATGGTGCTTCTTTAGTGTTTGTTGGACTCGAGGTTTCTTAGAGATGAGGGTTACCTGGGGTCAAGCAAGTGAACTTCTTAACGGCCTCTTCAGTACGGACTAAGCCTTTCTACCTTGCCAGGGGGGGAGGGGCTGAGGGGGTGGGCTATGTTCAACCGAAACTGGAGAGATTCGGCTGTAGCCTATGCCAGAACTGAAACTGAAAACATTCGGCTGTGACCTGGCAGGGACGGGTGACGGGGCTATGTTAGACCAGACAAGATGCTTGAGGGGCGGGGGGGGCGGGGAGGAGGCTGGGCGAGGGGGCCTTTGTTAAAACCGAAACTGAAAAGATTCGGCTGCAATTTTGCGAAACTGAAGAGTTCTGGCTGCAACCCTGACAAGGGGGCTGGGGGCCGATGTTAGAACCGAAATGACAGGGAGTTAGAACCGAAATTGAACAGAATCGGCTGTAAACCTCAACTCGAGAGACCCTAACCCCCCAAACTCGAACCCTCAACCACAGAGCCTAAAACCCTCAACTCTAAAACCCTCGACGCTACCCCCAAAGCCCCTTGGATACACCAAAGACGGCCCCTACACTCCCTGGTTTAGGGTTTAGGGTTGAGGGTCGCGCAGCCCCGCTCCCCCCCCCCGCTTTTTTCAAGCCGTGCAAGCTTGCTTCAAATCATATGAATGTCTTTTTACAGATAGACAAAATAAAAGTCTTGCTATGGACATATAGAGAAAATGGAGGTCTGTTGTTCTATGTAAATACACACCAAGTAGGCTTTTGTAAATGTAGAGAAAATCATGGTTTTCTATGTGAAGATAGCGAAAATCAGTGTTTTCCTACGGAAATATTGACAAGATGTAGTTTTTTGTCCTATGGAAATACACAGAACTGCCTGACCCTCCCCCACCACCCCCACCCACACAACACAACCCCTCCCCCCCCATAAAAAAAAGACCACCCCATGTCATCGTCTACATGGGACTTTGTCAAAGAATGCTGTTGGGATGGTGTTTTTTGCTCGAGGTTTCTTGGAGATGAGGGCTACCTGGGATCAAGCAAGTCGTTATAACGTCAAGGCCTGAACTTCCTAACGGCCTCTTCAGTACGGACTAAACTAAACTTCTCTATACCGGGGCGGGAGCGAGGGGCCTATATGTTATTGCCGAGCTCCCGTCCCGTCCGTCCCCGGCCGTCCCGTCCCGTCCCGTCCCCCCCCGTCCCGTCCCGTCCCGTCCCGTCCCGTCCGGTCCCGTTGTCCCGTTCGTCCCCCGGTCCCGTCCCGTCCCGTCCCGTCCCGTCCCGTCCCGTTCCCGTCCCGTCCCGTCCCGTCCCGTCCCGTCCCGTCCCGTCCCGTCCCGTCCCGTCCCGTCCCGTCCCGTCCCGTCCCGTCCCGTCCCGTCCCGTCCCGCGTCCCGTCCCGTCCCGTCCCGGCCCGTCCCGTCCCGTCCCGTCCCGTCCCGTCCCGTCCCGTCCCGTCCCGTCCCGTCCCGTCCCGTCCCGTCCCGTCCCGTCCCGTCCCGTCCCGTCCCGTCCCGCCCCGTCCCGTCCCGTCCCGTCCCGTCCCGTCCCGTCCCGTCCCGTCCCGTCCCGTCCCGTCCCGTCCCGTCCCGTCCCGTCCCGTCCCGTCCCGTCCCGTCGGCGGACATCGAAAACCAACTGGCGGACATCGAACGGGAACCGGCGAACATCCATAGGTCACATCTTGTTTTTCGTTGTCATGATGACTTTTTCGTTGTTCGCCGGTAATATTCCTGGGCCAGAAAGATTGCAAGGGTTAATCCGTTGCACTGCAGAGAACCCGTCGCATGTTCATGCTTGTCCCCAACTGAGCATCCTTCAGGTGAGACTCACTATTTCATCATGACTGTGGAAGCGAAAGTGCTTCTGGAGCATCAAGTTCTGCGAGATGGTTCCCTCACCGACAAGGCCCGCCAGAGACCTCATCTGACTCTTGAATCCTGAGCGTCAACAAGGAAGTGTCGGCGAAGCCCAGGCAACTCTGGGTGTTCTGTGCAGGAGCTCTTGTCCGTTGAGAACGTTGACATGCGCAAACTCGAGGACGCTAGTGTGGTGTCTGCAGATTGCAGGCTACTTGCGCTTCCATAGAATCTGAAGTGATGATTGTTAGTGTTAGTCTACAAGTCATCCACGCAGCCTGGCCTTTCTGCAGCGCAAGGACTTCTCTCGAATCGTCGTGGAAGACTACTCAAAAAAGGTGCGCGAGATGAGATGTCGACGGCGGATGGGAAGAGCAGGTCGAAAGCAGGTCGAAGCACAAGCCCCCTCGAAGGTTCGCTCCCTGGGTGGCATCTTTGCTGTGGAGATCCCAGAAGATTTCTTGGCGACGAGGCTGCTCCCCTTACGAGTCTTGACGTTGTGCCATGTCCACGAGCATGGGTTTTTTGAAAGATTGCTTTGCGCCAAAGGGCCATCGCTTTGGATCCTCGTGGACGCCCAGCGCTGTCAGCTTTCGCGCAACCAAGCACATACGTACGAGCAATGCCAAGCGATTCTGTAAAGATGGTGCAACTTTCCAAAAGTCGACATTGTCGGTTCAAGGGACAGGTTGCCTGGTTTTAAGCTGCCAACTTCTGTACATCTGAGAAAAATCGCACCCCGGTCCTTTTTTGGTCTTCCTTAACCTAGAATCTAGAATTTCATGTCGCCTCATTCCTCCCTTGCCGCCTATACAGAAGAATCCCTCCGCATCATGCTTGCAACTAATCCTAACCTTCCTTACAACCTTGATCGTCTCCACGGCGTGTTCAATCTTGCTTTCCCGAGACCTGTGTCACCTTTAGCGATAAACTCTACAGAGCGAGTTCTACATGCGCAAACCACATGGGTTGTCACTTAATTTTCGATTTCCCAACCTTTAGGAACCATACCGAAGGAGCACTGAAATTCACTGCTGTCACAAATCCCATGTGATGGACTTGGGCACAATGGGAGTAGACTTGACGAGCATTTTAATGTCAGCAGGGTCGACAAACGTTTTGAGCTGGGCAGCTCCAGACATCTCAAGATTCTTGTCAAGCGTGGGATGATCGTACTGGCCCAACGGAGCTCAGGGCAGGCGTGGCTTAGTTTCAGTAGTTCTACGCTGAAAGCCAAGGTACCGAGCAAACCTTACATGGCTTTCGCAGCCCATCTACTTGTTTGCCCCTGGGACTTATAGTGCTTGATGTTGCGCAAGTATGTGCAAGTTCAGGTGCTGTAGGCGTGTGAGTACGAGCGTTAATCCGCATATCGTCACGTCTGAGGATGGCTGCGATGGAGACCTCCCAGTATTCTTTGCAGGCGACGCCCTGCGGGAACCTTTCTGGCCTTATGGCGAAGGCAGGGAGTTGGGAGCTGTTTCTTTAAAAAGCAAATTGATTTTCAGAGGGAACTGGCCATGACTCTTGGACCCTTGCTGCAAATCAGCAATGCAGGAAGTGTTGTTGACTGTGCTTTCGAAGGTTGCAGTCGCGGCTTCATGGGAGCTTTGGACACTGTCTGGGCAGTGAGGCTCCTCGATGCTCCTCGGGTAACTTGGGAATTTTGGGAACTTGGGGATGTGAAAGTGTAAAAGTGAGTGATGCAGCCACGTGCAACCAGTTTAGCAGCGTGGTTTTGCCAAGAACGGAGAAGGTGCTGGGCAATGGGTCTACGAGGGGCTAAGCTCCGAAGAGCCCTGGCAGCGCTATGCTTTTCAAGCTCCTTTCATCAGAGCAGTCAGAGCAGTCATGGCTTTACGGATTTGAGATCCGCACTGACGGAGGCCTGCGGAAGAAACTCTTTGACTTGGCTTCGCAGGCTCAGCTCTGCTCACACGCTCGCATGCCACGCCCCTCTAGATTCTATATGCTAAACCTAGCCGTTTGGCCGGACACGGTCTCGATCGATACGCTGCATGTCATTGCCGCAAGTGGTCGTCGGCAGATGCATGTCGTTCATGTAACGGTCATTGCCCTAGACTCTAGACCCCTTTTCCCATGCTCCCAATGGACAGATGCTCGGGATACATGGAGCAAACAAGTGAAGACTTGCGAGCAAGTCTTTCAACTTCGGCTCTGCGCCGCCGTACGCTTTGTTGCCATGCTGTATCCCCTAAACAAAGAGAACCCGGAGAGACTCCGAGACTCTGAGAACTCTGAGAGGTGGATCCGGTGACAAAGGGCAGGGATGTGCTGCTGCCCTTTGAGCGCCCGGTCCCCTTTTCGGGCCTCGGCTTCCTGAGCGCCTTCGGCTCAACACACACGGCTTTCAAACAACACTCTCTTGTTGAAGGGCCTGTTCTTAACGGTCTATTTAACTATTTGTTCTGTTTAGAGGCGCCCTTTTTTTCGTCTCCAACGCACCGCCCCGCCAACTTCTGAGGTGGATTGAAGCTCCCATGGCCCGCCTGGGGCTTTGACGGCCGCAAGCGGCCAATAACCTTCGACTACACCACGGATCCCACAACGAGGCACGAAAGGGGGAAGCGGTTTGTCGGAGTTTTGTCGGAGTTTTGTCGGGTGGCCTTGAGGGCTGCAAATTATCGATCTTCGCCCGTGTCAGGTACCGGCTCTACGACGCGGAGGACGAGCAAGATGAGCTAGAAGCGAGTGAGCCGAGTGAGACCGCCAAAGGGAAGTGCGCACTCTGCTACTTCTGATGTGCCATGGTCGCTCTTGTCGGAGAGCACCCGGACCTCAATCTGAAAGCTGAAGCGTGCCTGCGTGCCAATGTATATCGGGTAAGCCTTGGGTAAATTGTTGAGCTGTCGCCGTAGATCATAGAGAAGTACAGCCACGGCCGGCATAGCACAAATCAGCTGCATTCCAGGCCAGCCTGGAAGCCAGTTGCGGCTGGGGCAAGCACAAGCTGTAGCGGATCATGGCCAATCAGATCCCTTCCCTTGAGATTGCTCGTCGATGTAGGTTAGGTGGGTCCGAGACAGACCCGCTGCAAAAGGGGCACTACCGACTCCTGCGGAAGTGTAGTGTAGTGAATCATCATCACGTGCTCTTGGCTTTACACGGGACATCGTCAGGGAATAGTGCCTCTTCTGCAATGCCTTGCAGCGACAAGGTGCGCTGCAGGCTTTGCTCACGTTGGATTTCTGCTACAGGTGTATGTCGGCACCATGTGTAGCGTTCTAGAGAGGAGCTTTGGTGGTCAGCAGTGCCTTGAGCACTTCCTCAGCTCCTCAGCACTGAGACTCGCCGAGCAAGCTTCGCAATTTTTGTTCTTTGGCTCGGGCTTCTGCTTTTACAGGGCTGCGGGCATTGCCGTGCATCAGACATCTGCAGCAACGAAAGCCTAGCTCTCAACTAGTTGGAAGAGGGGCGTGCCTCTGCACAGCAAGGATATCTCACCCTCCTGCGCGCAGCTTTAAGTTCTGTAGGCGTTTTTGTAGCAGAGAGGCTCGAATGAAATGGACGCTTACGTAGGGGTGCTGCAGCTCGCAGAGCCCAAGCCGAATCCTTAGGCCGAGTAAGCGGGCTTCCGACTCGCCTGCCACAAACCACAATTAACCGCAGCTTGGCTAGCCGAGCATGGATGTTGGGCACAAGTTCCGTCAATTTCCTCTCGAGGTGGCTCCTGTGCTGACGCAAGATCAAGAAAGACCCGCCTGCCGAAACCTATCCCCTTGCGGATCTTGCGATTTGACGATTGACATGCTCACTAGTGTTGTGCAAGTGGGTTCCCTGAAGACTCAAGATGCGAGCATTCCAGGAGCAAGTTCAATTGGTTGAAGTTTCCCTCTTCAGATTCACTGTGCATGTGAATGAAAAGTCTTACCTCTGACAGACCTCGACACCAAGCCGACGAGAAGCCACCGTCCCACAAGCAGAGGCCCGGCCTTAATCGAAGGGAGCTACCAGCATTAGGATCACTTTGTGATGAAAGCAGACACTGCGGCATGCGCTGCGTCACAGCAGACACAGCAGGATCTAAACTTTAGACGCTCTGCAACTGCCGTTCGACAGATCGTCTTCGAGCCTTGCCGATCTGGGGATCGCCCTCTGCGGCGCTAGACCCCCATTGTCCGCAGGCGCCAAATCTGCGCTTGGAGACGGGGGCGTTGATCCTCTCAGAGCTGCTAGGACAAGGACTTGTGGCTCAACCACCGAGCTCAAGGGTGTCCTTCAGTCAATTTTTACTGGAATGCAAGCTGCAGACATCAGCCGGGCCGGCCCAAGCCCACGGGAGGTCCGCGTAGGCGGTATTAGGCGGTCCATGAAGGTGCACCTGGCAGATACGGAAAGCAACTGCGGGTCGCGGAGAGCAACCGACCCGTAGACTCGAAACCTTGAACTCACGGTGCAAAATCAGCTTGGGGGACGTATAGGCTTGCTGCAGGACCCCAAAAGCCATTTGGCCTAAATTAGCACTACAGGAATGTCAGCCAGCAGCGCATTGTTCCAACGTTTTTGTTGTGTGTCTAGGACCTGCCCACGCGCCTATACCGGATTGCAACTCCTCTCAGCGAATTTGGCAGTTCCCCCTGGGGGGGTGATGGGTTGGTGTGGTGATGTGGGAAGGGCAGGGAAGAGGGGAGAAGGAGACCGGGGCTTGGTCTCGCTGGACCTTTTAATGTCATAAACCGTTTGCGCCGCACAGTTTGGTCGGGAACGGACACACTCATCCCTGCGCATCCAGCAACTTTCGCTCGTGTTTGCTGTGTTGCGCAAGTAGGCTGGCAAGGCGACACATTGGGGTTTCAGGGTGCATCGTCGTCCGAAAGTATATTGGAATCGGTACTCTGCGCTAGGTCTCGCGTGCACTTTGCTTGTTTTTTGCTATGTTGCAAAAGTAGCCTGGCAAGGGCGTCTCCCTGCAGATTAGCTTTCCGTGGGTCGCCTTTTGCATGCATGGGTTGCGTTTTGCATTCAGGGGCGTCTACTTGGGGTGAGTCGCCTTTTGCCTGCGTGGGTCGCCTTAGGGCGGGCACCCAGTACCTAAACCCCTAAGCCTAAACCGGTTATCAGGGCTCAAATTGCAAGGATTGCTGGTACCTGAACGACCCCTTCATCTGGATGGAGCAGACGAGGCCAGAGTGTGAACACGCGCGAATTGGGATTTGTCAACGTCTCCAAACTATTTGGAGATGTTGGAGAGCATGGCAGAGGTTCCCGAGCCATTCCGCCGTGCTCTCCGCGAGCTCTCGGCACGGCTCCCACCAGGGGCGCGCATCGGCGCCTCGGCCGCCCTCGGGTCCCTTAAGTTCACAACACACCATAAGAGGCCGTGAGCACTGCATCATACTGCCGTACTGCACCTCTCAAAACTTGATTTCGAGGCTTCACTGCGCGAGTCTCCGGCGTAGCGGGGGCACCAGCTGTGGCATACAGTGCAGCCCAGGGCTTAGGTTTTGCTTACATTCCCGGAGATGAAAGCCGATACTGTGCAGTGGTGGTGTTTCAATTCTAGCCATGCTAGCGCTTGTTTCGCAGAGCCTTGAGGTCCGTGAGAGTTTGGGCCCGGACTGCCCTGTTGCTGTCTTGCACTGTCACTACCATTGTGGCAGCTGCTTGGTTTTGACATTTGCTTGTGTGGCAACATAAAGGTGTCAGAGTTTGCTCTGCCCATTGCTTGACAGGGGTTGCTTCAGTTGCAGTACGCGGTCGGCAGGAACGCTTCTTGTGGCATGGAACGGCTTGGGAATGTGTACCGAACATCGTGTCTGGCACTGAGATGCTCTTGCCACGCAAATGCTGTGCCCCGTGCTGGTGTTGCTCAGATGGTGCTTAGGTGCTAGCAATTATCTATGTGCATGACTTTACGGATGATGAAGGTTTCACACCAACAGGTTCCACCAATCGACTAGAGCATGCCCTTGCCGCTGTTGCACTGTGCAGCTTCTGTAGCAATGCGACTTTTATGCGGCGAATCCCTCCCTCCCTGTGATATAAGGTTTATGTTTATGACTTGGCGATAAGTTTAGGGAGAAGCGGTTAAGGGATGAAGGGGTGAAGGGGCGAAGGGGTTGAGGGGTTTAGGGGTTTAGGGTTTTATGGCTTTAGGCTTTAGGGCTTAGTATTGAATTTCGGTTTTAGGTTCAAGGTTGCAGGGTAGGGTTAAGGGTTTAAAGTCCAGGAAAATTCGGGTTTAGGTTAATAGCTGCGTGGTAGGGTGTTTCGGGTTTAGGGATTCGGTCGGGAGACGGGATTGGCAGGGGGAGGATGCCATGGGGAGGTTGGGGGGGGTTGGCGAACCGCCAGCCGGGATCATACATGCGCGACCCGTGCAGGCGACACGGATTCAATCGGGCATACGCCTTCAACGCAAGGCAGGGCAGAAGAAGGCATGATCAATAGAATTTCTTCCACTGGTGTTGATTTAAAGCTGTCATGTCGGATGCATTTCCCTATGGAACTACGCCATGTGAGCCACGTGCAAGTTTGGAAAGGCATGGCTCCAAACTGGGGCGTGGCGTGTACTTTGCGGAAGATCCGGCTGGAGCCTGGGAACGATAGGGGAGTTCTGAACTAGATCTGGGTGCTGGCCCGTGCGATAGCATGCGAGGTAGGGTTTATAGTGCTTTTATTGGGTGAGTGTACAACAATGGATAAAATAGATATAATATGTGTATATATATATATGTATGTACATATGTATATATGTATGGATACTTGTAAATGTACAGCAGTGCATCTCCTCATTTCCCTGGCTTTTCCGGGGCTGCCAGCTCTCCATATATGGTTCGATGGGCCTGCCTGTGGATTTGATCCAGGCATACGCCCTGCGCTTTGCCGGGCGGACACAGTCCAGCCGAGCGCTGCTCCTGGCCGGCGTGCTGCCTGGGCCTTCGATGCATGCGCCTACAGACGTGTTTTCATGGATGCCTGCAGCCGTGAACCTTCTCATCGTCAGGCCCGGGAACTTCACTCGCGGAAAGGCACGGATAAGTGAGGGATCAGCATCGTGCCAACCTAGCCGACTCTACTGTAGGTGGGAGATCTCGCGAGTTATTTCCATTCACCTCATGTATCTTCACGTATCCAACGTCCACGTTGCCTTGCAGGAGGGTCTCCTGGAGCCTCCACGCTGCGACGCTTCTGGTAAGCGGTTTGACGCGACAACCGACGACGCACGGCGGTGGGGGTTCCTGACATTTGGGAGATTGCCAATATTTTTAAAGCTTGCACGAGTTTGGTAATTTTGGTATGCTTGAATGTCAATGACGCGAGGCCGCGGGTCTTCTGCGTCTTCAAAGACTTTCAAGCCTTGCCTCTCTATTTGATCCAGGCCGCTTCAATGTCGAGCAGGGCATTCCAGCCGTCGAAGTGTGCAGTTTAATTTTCGTGGGCTTACGGTTTTGTAGGGGTATACTGAATGCCATTGATCCCCAGCAGAAGATGGAACGAGACCCCACCCCACAGCCCCGCATGCAGCTGCAAAGCCAGAGCAGAGCCCGAGTTGCGAAGGTCATGGTGGCCTCCTGACAAGCAGAAGGCGGGTTGGTCGCAGAAGAGAGACTGACTGTTGGAACAATTAAAGCAATCGTTCGAGGTGCAGCTACAGTAGTTTATTTCAGCTCGATCAAGTCATTTGCATCCAGGCAAGTCGGACTCTGGGCAGCGCACCCCCGAGGTGCAAGGGTCAATTCAGATCACTCTTGAATCCCGATGAAGCAGAGCGAGGAAGGCAGAGTGCAGCCGGCAGCCAACTCAAACGTCTACACATGTGCCCTAGTGAAGACCGCTACCTCCGCTGCATGTAATGGCCACGACAACCAGAACGCTGAACCAGTTCCACTCGCAGCAGGCCTGCCATGGGCCAGCGGCTAGCATCTGATCTGATGGGAGAGGCAAGGGCAGCAAGACACCACTTTTCCGAATGGTCTGGTGCCGTCCTTGTTCGATGTAGATAGGAGCACAATCTGTCGGATTTCTGCCATTGGCAGGACCGGCAGACTAAAGCAATCAAAGGCATCACAAGCATGCCCACTCTCTTCGGGAGGTTGGCTCGATAGGTCTGACGGAATTGAGGTAGTGCTGTTGTGATCGCTTGCTTGTGAAGATCCTAGCAAGCATTCTCGATGAATCATGAGAGCTCTGCCTGTATGGCCCTGCTCATACTCAGAACTGGCCTTACGTCCAGCAACGAACATCCCCGTCGTGGGCCTGTCAACTCGCTCAACTCGCCATCACTTCCGTCAAGCCTGCAAATGCCAACCTCATCGAATGTTAACGAAGCCTTGCCTGCTTCCCTGCCATAGCCTGGAACTGCAGCTGAATTTGTTCACAGTCAGGACAGCGTTGCGTCTGCTACGAAATGCCGCAGATTCGGTCCGTCAGCAGTGTGTCTTGGGACGTGAAGCAAATATCCAGGTTTCCCTCTCCGTGTCTTTGACATGGACCGAGCCTAGGCAGGGCTCGACTTGCTAGGATGCCTTACGTAACTTAACCTATGAACTATATGATGCGAGGTTACCTTTCGTGGCAATTCTTTTTACACTAGTAGATCTGTCGTATTCCTTCGCTCTCTTCACTACAGCAGTCGCAACGTAGCGAATCAGGCTGCTAGGACCATGGCCACATTTAGCACGCCTGCTGCGTACAGACACCTCGCACAAAGCCAGACAAAGCATCCATGTGAGCATCCTTTGATGCCATGCCAGAGCATCGGGCAGCTCGGCAGGTTACGCCCGGCTGCATGAACGCCTTCATGTGCTACCTAGGACTGCAGATGCGACCCGTGCCTGAGAATAATCTCAGGCTCACATGCCTGCAAGCCGCGGCGGGATCTGGACTTGCGGGAAGAACACGTGCGAGGGAGCATGTTGTCGCTTAATTAGGCTTACAGATGCTTGCAGGCTGTCGGCTTTCCAACGCCTCCCCAGAGAAATTTCGTATGCCAACTTAAAGGAGTGCAGCTGCGGCAGCGCGCCGTGCAGCAGAAGCGGCTCGGCAAAGGGATGGAGAACAAGACTGAGCGAAAAAGTATGACTATATCAGTTCTCGGTACCAAGAGAATGTGGAGAATTGCTTTGATGTGCTTGTCAAGGACAAGGACGGCCCAAGAAGGTCCATCGAGCTTGGGACATGAATGGGTGCATATGCGCACCTCAACCATTTCCTTTGCTCTGAACGAAAGAAGATAAAGAAGCCCATAGTTTTAGCACACTGTTTGGGGCCAATTGCTAGAAGCCAGCCCAAGCCAGAGACTTTTCTTGCCGTTTGGGTGAGGGTCGGCAAGAGATGGCGAGCAGTTGATCTAGCGCCTGTGGTCCTTGTGTCCTAGTTTTATAGCTCTTTTGGAATCAGGCGTCCAGTCCAGGGGAGACGCCGCTCCAAGCTGCGATCCGGGCCGCAAAGGTGCATCGGTGGCTGAGACAGCACCGGCACGAAGAGTCGCAAACAGTAGTGAACATCGAAGCGGACCAGACGCGACAGTCTACTCTCAGCATTCCTAGTCCAGAGCGCCTAGTGAGAGTTTTGTGGCGCTGCTGACATCTTGAGCCCGGAGGCGTGCTGGAAGCGGGCCGAGGCGGGAGAGATGTGGTTGCACGGGAGGACGAAGATGCAACGCCTTCTATTCAGAAGATTTCATACGTGCTGCGTTTAATGCAGCAGTTGAATCTGAAGGCGCACTTGCTAGTCCCTTCCCTTAGCCGTGAAGCTCACCTGGAAGACATTATTGGGTTGAGGTTCAGCCCAAGCACTGGCACGAACTAAATCCCCTTCTCTGAGTACTTGAGTGGTTTTGAGTTTGGAAGGCAGAACGGGGGGGTACACAGAGAACAGTTCATGAGTGCCAAAGAAGAAATCAATCAGCCGCGCGCCGCCAGCCATCGCATAACATCGCATGCCATGTGCCACCAGGCGGAGAGACGGAAGAGGCTGGCCCGTCGAGTCGCGAAGCGAGCAGCCAAGAAAGCGAAGCCGCGCACGCCCAGGACAGAAAGAGGAGAGTAAAAGGAATGACGAGAGTGAGAGCCGTTCATTATTTTGCGAGTTGTTCTCCGACAGATGCCTGAGCCTGTGCACCTTGATTCTCATATAATAAACCTTGCTTCAAGGACACAGGCCCTGCCTGACCAAAGTGTTGAGGCAGGCGCGATATGCGCGATCACGACGCAGGTGGCAGGGTGCAAGCGGGTTGTGTCAGGTCCCCTCCGATGTAGCTTTCAAGGCCTCCTCAAGTTTGTTGTCGAAAAGATTTCTGGCAGTAGCAACTGGAGAAATGAGAGCTGCAGCTGGAATGCACCGCTTGACTCGTAAATCCTATAAAGTTTTACGCCACTTCCTGTCGTTGGGCACAGGCGGAGCAGATGGCAAAACAAGCCGCTGCATGTAAGGAGGCCACCGTCACAATGCTCAGAGCGCAAAGGAGTATGTGTTTTCCAAGGCTGCTTCCACAACCTCTAGCAGACTCTAGCACTCATGAGCTGTTCCATCGGCAGTCCATTTGAGTCAACCTTTCTTGTTGTACAGGCATGGGATGCAAAGGAAGCAGTTCGGCTCCTTCGACAGGCCAGCGGAGTGGGTCGTGTGTCGTGTCAGCCATTCTGCGTGCTGCTTGGCAGGCAGCTGCGCTGATGGAGCTGCTCGTATGCAGAAATTAATGTATGTCGCCGAGTCCGGGAGCAAAAGGATGGCAGCGATGCCGAAGAGAAGACCAAGACATTCCAGTATCAGTTGGAAGCCTTCGAGTGTTGGAGGCGTTCTGCAGTTGAAGTATCTAGCACATGGAAGGAAACATAGCACTGAACAGGGTCCGCTCCTATAAGCGATTTACTCGTGAAGCAGCTTCTCAGAGGCTGGTCGAAACAAATTCAGGAGGGGCTTGTTACGTATCAATCATTCTTGGAAACGTCGGGAACGGCATGGCATTATGGCAATTCATAATCTTCAGAAGCCTGCGCCACCAACAGCCCCACTTCCAACGAATGCCGGGCGCAAGATAGTAGCCCACGTCAGCTCGCCTTGCCAAGGTCGACACATGCCGTGAGGCAAGATTTGCCTGTTGTTGGAGGTGCAGCTGCACGTGGCACACCACCTCGCACCATCTTTTTCCGCAGGAAGCAGCTCCGAAAAGTTGCCGATGACGTGCTGCAGGCTTGGAGCGGTCTGAGTCAGTGAGTCGCTTTGGACAGCTTTAGAAGTCCAGTCGTCGTGGTGTTATGTGGGGTTCTACACGTACCCGCCATTCATCTAACAGAATCTAGCCAAGTCTCGCATGTCGCACCATGTCTGGCGCATCAGTCGGTTTTCGCTAGCTGGGTCACAGATGTGGGGTTGCAGATCAAAAGGCGTGATGTATGTGTGCAGTCTGTGTGCTAATTAGTCGTTCAATACAACATCGATCGGTCTGCTCCTTGGCCGTGGATTGTTCTTTTGAGCACTAGCTTGCCCATCAGATCGAATTTCAATCTATGTTCGTTGCTAGCTGAAACGCCCCTCGAGCCTTCTGTTGTGCTACGCGCAAATGCGGTAATGTGTGCCACTAGTATGGCAGACTGATGTGATATGCCTCGTGGCATCATGGACCCTGCCCAGTCCGCAGTGCTCATGCCCTTGAGAAAGTCAGGCTTGTCAGGGATTGACTTGATGTCTTTTGATGACTGTCTGCATGGCTCTGAGACCCCCGTGCGAATGTATGTCGGACGCTCCCGTCTCTGCTATTCCCATGCAGCATGCCGGTGCATGCCGCAGCAGAGCGCAGGTCCTCGACGTGGAGGATCCCAAGACGCGCCGTCTTGTTGGTGATGCCTTGCGTACGCACCGCACCCAGCAGTCCTTGGCGCCATCTCTGCATTTTTTGCCGTTTGTGCCTGTATCGCTTCTGCAACTAAGTCCCATTGAGTCCCCGAAGTTGTGGCCGCAGCACCAAGGTTTGGGCAGTGAAGGCCAGACCGCGGTTAAAACAGAACTTCTGCAGCTTCCTGCAGCTTTCTGCAGCTTCCTGCAGCTTCCTGCAGCTTCCTGCAGCTTCCTGCAGCTTCCTGTAACTCTTGGAGGGGGGTTAGCTGCTCGCACTTCCGCCCGCAGCTGTTTCTTGTTCCATATTGTTCCGTGATGCTCCATGATGCATCCGCAACTCTTGTTGACTTGATAGCAGAGTGTGCTGACTGCCTGCGGCAAAGCCCAAGCTCAAGTCACGGCCAAGACTCTTGCATCCCAGCGAACCTGAATGGAGCACCGAAGTAACTCCTTTGTCGGTCCGGTGCACGGATGCATTTTTGATCCAAGTGGTGGCCACTCATGATCTCGACCCCCCAGGGATATCGGGTGCAGGGCTTGGCCCAAACACATTTCTGTGCATGACTCCTTCAGCAGAAAGTTCAACATGTCGTTAGGATTCAGAATTCGGAAGAACTCTGTGTCTCTAAGGTTCCACCCAACGTGGCTCCTGGTGCATTGCGCCCCATTGACACTTGGCTGAGAGTCGCACAAGTCCTCCTGAATGCTGGTGAAAGTTCACAACTCACAAGGTCTGGATGAGCTATTGCCTCAAGCTTCAGAAACAGATGCTTGCTTACTGGTTCGTCCTGACAGTGGCTGACAGGAGCGGATGATGTCCATGCCGGCATGCAAATGACGCCAAGCTGCAATCTACATTTTCATCAGTGGCTGAAGTCTCATGGCATCATGCCGCACGTGCAACTGTCCTTCCCGCTGGCAACGCCATGGGTATGAGTGACACGAGCCCGGTGTCCCCATAGACCTCAACACCATGCCCTGCAACGCCAAGATGCACCGCAAGTGGCGTCACCATCAACGCTGCACCGAGCGGTGGTTGGGGTCGCTTGGAGCAAGAGTTGGGGGCATTCTAGGTCGAGGATGTCCGAAAGAGTGGCCAGGCTCTTCAAAGCTTGATGGTGCACTGCAGCAGTATCGCGGCTATGGTTTTGTGGAGCTCTGATGAAGGTGCCTTCTGGGGCAGAGGCTGCGCAGCACCCTTAGCAAGTGCTTGTGAAGACAAGCTTCAGACCCTGGGTGCCCCTTTGGAGGGTGTGAATGGCTTGTTCTCTCGCGGCACCACCTCAAGCTCGTGTTGAGTCGTGGGACCCTCCAGGCTCTGAGTATAGTGGACGTCGGCAGTTGTAGCTCAAACTCACGTCACATTCGGCTCATTTGGTGCCGTGCAGTTCAGTCTGGTGCCACATCAGTTGTTGAGCAAGCTCCGGTACCAGCAGTACTGTACATGTGCGTGATGTCTTTGATAGAGCTGGAGAAGAGTACCAGATGCGACTGCATGCAACTGCAAGGGAAGTCAGCAGCATCACTGCATCCCACCCATGTTCTGGCCCCGTGCAATGCCCATCGCAAGGGCTTTAGTCTCTCAATGGTGTAATGTCGATATCGATGGCGCAAACTTGTTCTGTCGCCATTCCCTGTCTGGATGCATCTGTGTGGGCAGCATGCGCAGCATGCGTGGCCGTAGGCGAGCGGTTCAGACCTCGACTGTTATCGCAAGACCGCGCCCATCTTTGTGAGAACTCAGAGCTGCGCAATCCAAAAAACCTTGCTTGAACCATCCCCTTCAAACCAACAATGACAGCATACGAAAACACACGCAACCCTAAAATGCCAACACTGTTGTTGAAGACAAGCGCCTTACCGCTGCCCCCAGATCTGATGCCGCTGACTTTTTACAGTGACTCGTGAGATGGTTGGGACTGCAACCGCCCGTCTTATTCCCAGGCCTCGGCCCACTCTGTCACCCTCCGCAACAGCAAACTGGGTGGCGCACCTTGACCACCGAACTGGGCGTGACGTTCAGCTTGATTGCCTGATACCTGACAACCTGCAAGCACTTGGCAAGTTTGGACAGAACGTGTATGAGGTACTCAAGCCCACGCGTACCAGCGCATCCGGCACTCTCATCCACTGCCAGGCAAGCTGCAGCTCTTCCAAACAGTGGCAATTGACGATTGAAGAAATCAGATTCTTCAGTATTGCCCCATGACCCCATGAAGCATATTAGGATTCAACCTTACTTGGATCATGGTCACGAGCGCGGAAGATTTTCGCAAGCTGGTTGCATGTTGCAGGTCACAGTTCGTCCATCCAATGGTCTCACCGCGGATGATACCAGAGGCACCGCTATTTGATGAGATAATGGGGACCCCCGCTCTTGACGAATAACAACGGCAATTGTATCCTATGGTCCTACGACATCCTACGGGCAGGTTGCCGTGGACGTGCTTAGCCGCTCCCGCGAGGTGGGAGACCCTGAGGACAAAACCAGTTTTTGCTTCTTTTTGTTTCTTGTTTGGAACTCCTTCGTGGCACAGACCAAGGCCTTCATTGTTTGTACCGGTCCAGCCCGCTCCACTGTGGCAGCAGGCGCTGAGACCTCTCTGCCCCCTTCAAGGTATCTTCCCTGTCTCATAGAGTCATAGAGCACGGGAGGTTGCAGCTCGCGTGGGTGGCAGGTCATTTTGGGGCCTCACCACCCACCTCGCCGCGATTCGATGCTCCGCAATCGCCAAGGCAACCCTCGCGAACCTGCCTTCTTCGGATGCTTCAGATGTGATGCAAGAGTCAGCATGGGTGCTTGAAAGTGATGTGTGTGTGTGTGTGTGTCTCGATCAGGTTGACGACACACGCCCGGCCCGGTCAAAACGTGCAGCAGCAGGTCCTTCTTCTACTTCTTGGAATCAATAATTAGTAATATTTCTACGTTGCTGACACCACATGCGAAGTGTGAAGAGACTTTCGGGAGAGCCAAGACCTGGACCCTGGCTGACTAGGCTTCCTAAAGTCTTGTTGAAAACAAACCCAGCTGAGTATCCTACAAGCGATAAACTGCGGTTTTTGTGCAGATTTGTTATACACTTGCGTCGAGCTCCTCATTGGAGAGGCACGGCCTTCTTTGTGGGAGCAGTGCGGGCCTCTGGACACGGCGAGTCTTTCAGTTGACAGCTGTTTTGAACAGGGGAACACAAAAGCCCTTCTGAAAACTCTACCTATGCTATGCAGAAGTCAATCGCGAGGGTAGATGAGGGTAGCTTTCCCCGGGCATTTGAGTGTAACTTTCCTTTTCCGCCTCATGTGAAACAGACATTTACCGCCATATGTGCCCATTGCGGGCACATAGTCAAGCCTCCGTCGAGGCATCATCAGCAGGCCCTCCGGCAAATGCGCCGTCCAGCGCCGGGCCGCCTAGAGTGGATGCAGACATCTTGAGGTGAGGCCCGAAAGCCGAAACCCTAAACTGCCCGAAACCGTAAACTGCGAAGTGCATCAGACGAGATGTGACGAGTCAGCACCAAAGGCCGGCTGAGGGCCCACTCCCGTCACAAAGCCGGCTCGTTCCAGGCCAGGAGCACCTGCACCTGAAACAAGGGTTTAGGGTTCAGGGTCTAGGTTCCTGCACCTGGGCTGCCCATGGTCGTTTATTCCTCAACCTCGGTGGGGTTGCGGTTGCTATCTCACTGATAATCCCTGGAGTGAACAGCCCCGGAGAGTCCTGCAAAGAGTCTTGCCCGAGAATCCCGCCTATACTACAGCTGAAAAAGGAAGCAGTGCCTCGTCCAAGCTCTGTCCTGTTGTGTGCCTCGAGTTTTTTGTACGAGCTTTCCAGCCAGAAACTAGGGCAAGGCCCGAAAGGTGCAACAGGCTGTTTTGACAACAGAAGCCTTCAAAGGCATATGCCCGCTTCTTGGAATGGCTTTTTTTTTTTTTTTAATGAGCTTGTTCATCTAACTTGCGTTAAGTTTATTACGGGAAAATCATGGGGCAGTCGTTCCAAAACCTGCTCTGCTGTGGCGAAAGTATGCGGAAGTGTGGTCGGTGGGTGCTTCCGCACGTTTCTCTTAATCTGCTTGCTCTTGAGTCGAATGAGGCGCAACAACAAGGCTAGCGACCAAGGTCAAGTTACATCAGAACAGAGACAGATACAGGGCGGAAGCGCTAACTCTTGCGGGAGTAATGGTGTTCACCCCTAATCCATAAACAAGCACCCATGAAAGTTTCCAGTTTCAGGAAAGCTCACTCTTTCCCCTCATGCATTATCATTGTCATTCTTAAAGCATCTAGACGCTTTAGAATTGTGTTCATAAACAGAAACACTCGTCTTTTCGAGGTTTTTGCGTGCGCCTTTCAGGTTCGCACTTAAGGGTTGTCGGTTTCGGAGTTGTAGGCTTGAGGGTGTCCTGGTCTTCGGGCTTGCGCTCGTTTTTGTGCAGGGCGTGGGTTTCGGGTATGGGGATAGCCTGCACCAGGACTTCCCAACCGGAGCCCCGGGCTTTGCACCCCACGACACGAGGAGGGTACCCTGTCGCGAAAGCCTGCGAAGCAAACGTTCAAGAACGACACGGAGCATTTTCATAATCGAATTGTATTGCAAAATGCTCGCGCTCGAAATGGCAACATTTTTATAGATTATAGCTCCTCGTTCACTCACCCACTGGCAGAGGGAGGTCGCTTGTTGTTTTCACTGAGCGCTTTTGTGCATGCCGTCGCCATTTGGGCGAAAGATTCGATGGTTCTGCTCCCACCTTCCTGACCCTTTCGTCCTGTTCCTGTGCTTCTCGTGTTTGCGAATGCGGACGGGGACAGTGTGTCCGTCCTATGTTATACCGAAGAAATCCGAATCGAATGTCAATCCGATAGAAGATAGACAGACGTCCGTTTGGATGTTATGCTGCGGTCAATGTTCATCGATCAAATGCATGTCCCAGACGTTGGTTGCCACCGTCGAAGAAGCTGGTAGTAAAAGTATCGCAGTCCGCTTCAAGCATCTCCATTCGTCTTAGGGTCAGCGTTGGTTGTCCTGAGAATTTTGTCACCTCTTAGTTTTGGATCTTGAGTGGTCGTGGACAATCTTTCTTGGATTGATCTGCAGGTGCAGCGTCGCGGCCGCCCACTCGGGAGTCGCCTGCGCCCTTAGAGTGTCAGTGAGCCATCGTGCCCGTGCTCTCCAAAACCCTCGACGCCGAGGAGCAAGGTCATCACCACGCAGGCAAAAGTCGCACAGCCGGCAGATCTGCCGACTCCCTGTGAGACCATGACTGCGACGGGGATGACTACGATGACAGCTTCTCTGCCCAGCCGGAGTGAGCATGTGCCCGCTTCGGGGACGATGTCTCAGGTGCCCTGAGCTTTGTACCACCTGCACATGCATGCAGCCTGTGTTGGAGGAGCTTCAACACGCCCTGTCCACTGCCCAATGCATCTCAAGGGTTGCAACAGTTGCTCAAGACTGTAGCAACATCAGCAGCTACCAGAGCCATGGGCAGCGACAGTCAGCGAGCGGCGCGACGCACATGAGCCTCTCTCAGTACAAGTGCTCGATCATGGAGAAGTGCAAGGATCGGCCCTGGCCGAGGGCATGGCATGGCAGTGAAACAATGGACGATGGTGGACCGCATGCACTTTGATCAGCCATTTGCCGTCTAAGGGGGGTGGATCTCCCCGAATGGCTGATCGAAGCGCGCGCAGTCAGATCTGCACCCCCCCTTGTCGTGGTGTGCTGGGCTCCCCGGTGCCGGCCGTGGAGGCGAGAGGGCGAGAGAGCGAGAGCGAGAGCGAGAGAAGAAGTCACAGGAAGGAAGAAGTCACAGGGAGTACACCGGAAGACCAGTCGAATGGGGATCGCACGCCTACGGGCGGCCCCTTCCAATCGGCTAGGTGCGCAGAAAGAAAGCAAAGAAGAACGAAAGAAAGAAGAAACAAAAAGAAAGAAGAAGGGAGAAGGTCCCGCACATATGCCTTAGAAACATGCCGTGTTCGACGAGCAGTGCTGGACGCAATGGATGCTGTATCCACGACGATTGGCCACAGCCCCCTCAACTACGAGATTCCCGCAGCATTCAGGATGCCCAAAAGAGGGCCCTCAACGGTGACACCGGGGCTCTGCCAAGGTCACAGCGACAGGAGCAGGCTAGTTATGCACTGTCGCAGAGCAGCCGCGAAAGCTGCCGCATGGGCGAAGTCCACGTGAGCGCTGCATTGTTTTTTGCAATGGACAGGGAACGGCAGGAATAGCCGCTGTACCAGTAGCAGAGCTCTTCGTTAGGAATGTTCCACCTGTCTTCTGAGACGCATGGTAGCAGCGGATGTTCCCTGTGCAACCATGTACATGTACAGCCTTTTTGGTCCGCGTGCGTTGCAGTTCCTAGCGCCCGCAATCGTCTGTTAAAACCCGCAGATTGCAGATACATAGACTCAAATAGACGTGGACGTGGAGTCAACAAACCAATCAGGTGCTGGAAGAGGCCCCGCAGTTGCCACAAGTGCCTGTGGAGCAGACATCAGTTCCCCAAGCACGAGCTGGCTCGGGGCCCCAGCAACAAGCGCCGGCCAACCAAGAAGCGGATTCCGTGGATGCCCGAGCAGGGACAGCAACAGCCGAGGACCGCTGTGCCTTCACAGAAGACGTGCTTAGTCGGATTTGTCATGCGAGAGAGTTCACAGAGCCTGTCGCTTCCAATCTTTTGTATCAAGTAAGCCACAGGATTAAAAAAAGTGCGTGGGACATTGTGGGACAGGTTGTATTTAAAAGCAATTGCGAAGCCCTGTAATCCACCGCGAATCCAGGACTCTGGGCCAAAGGTTGCCTCGAGGCCACGGCCATCAGCTTCGCCGGCTTCGCCGGCTTCGCCGGCCTCGCCGGCTTCGCCATCGCCACCGGTGAGTGCACCGATCCAGGCCCCAGGAGCGGCACAAGGAGACCCAAAAGACGCAAAAAGACGAAGAGCACCTGTTCTGAAGACTCTAATTAAGGCTCAGGCTATGCTCGGTATGTTCAGCAGAGCCACTCGCAGCTTGGTGTTTTGTTATCAGCACCTTGCAGGAGGCCTGGGAGGACCCAGCGGCCCCAGCACAACGCCTCAATCTCCCCAGAAGGAGCGAGCCGACCATAGAATCAATCTAACGTACATCAATGCACCTATGTTTCGTTTGGACTGCATGCGAGCTTGTTTGCTCTCTCTAGTACTAGGACGCGAACAGTCAGAGTACTGGGCGTGAGGCGTCGCAGCCTCAGCATGTTGCAAAGTGATTGCAGAGGGCTTCTGTGCGGACAGAATGCCGCCAGCCGCGCGCACTTAGGTTTGACTCTCCGCGGGACGCTTGCTACACAACTTGCAAGGAGATTCCAACCCGACTAGCGCTAGCCGTTCGGTGTTGTCAATGCTTTCGGCACACTAGTCTTCAGCAAAGCGATGTGCAACTCTGGGCGCGGGAAATGGAGGGAAATCAAGAGTTCCTTCTCTCCGCAGGGCCCGCAGGGCCCCCTGCAGGGCCCGCAGGGCCCGCAGGGCGCTCCAAGTGAGCCACTGATGGCACGCTTGGCCTTCCTCGAGGCAACTGGTCATTCCCAGTGTGGGTCGGAGCAGGACAGGTTGGCAACGCGGCAACTCGTAGGTTCCAGTGATGTGCTGCGCAGCAGCTGTTCGAGACAGTTTGACAGGGGGTCAACCTGCGAAACCCGGCATCCTTCACTTTTGGCCCCAGTTGTTTCGCGCCTGTTGACCCCAAACGTCGAGTAAGCTCGCATGGGTCTGTTCCAGGCACAGGCCACGGACCGTCGCTCAGACTGCAGACATTTCTTGACCATACGCCGGAGAAAGTCAACAGCAAACAAGCAAGATGCTCCAGGAAGGTATGCAAGTGAGGCTCACGCAGATTGGGAGGTCCGGACAGTCCTGACTTCTGACTTGTTGCTCAGGTGCCAACTTACTTGCGCATCACAGCTGCAATTCATGCCTCGGCTTGCTCGGAGCATCCCAGTATGTTGTCAGGTTGTGTTGGCGAAGTGCTTGGAGGGCTCGAATCTACTCAAAGAACAGCCACTGTACTCGCAGCTTCCGAGGCACATCCATCGGCAGCAGGAGCAGCTGAACCGGTTAGAGGCTGCCCAGCTTTTCGAGAGAGCGCGTCGAAGCAATCTTACATCAAGAGCCCTTTGCTGCGAGAGGCCCTGGCGGAGGAGAACGCGGAACTTCGGGCCCAGTTGCAGCGCCCCAAACGGGCTAAGGCCCAGTTCGGTGGTTTGTGGTTTGAGGTGGTTTGGGGTTTAGGGTTTTTAAGGGTTTGTTATGGTTTACGGCTTACGGTTCACGTTTCAAGGTATCGGGATTTACGCACACTAAGGTGGGTCTTCATGAAGTTTCATACAGTGATGGAGCTGCTGCGGGTGAATAGAGATTTAGTCGGGGGAGCCCGTATCTCAGTAGTCCTCCAGTCATTCCGGGCAGACAATCGAGGCAGCGGTAGGGTATTCTCAGTGACAGGATGAGCCACGGGACTCGGGCCGGGACCCGGCAAACCACGCATGCGAAAATGATTCGGCTCGTCCTTTGCTGCACGAAATCCCTAAACCCGTAAGAGCTGTTGAGAGCAATGCTGAGAGCTGCACAGGCGCCGGCCGAAACTACGAGGAGAGAGCCGCGCCTTAGAGAAGGCGGGAGAGGGCCAGTGGAGAGCTGTTGAGGGCTCCTTAAGGTCTTAGGTGCTTTGCCGTAGCAGCCGCCGGTATGTTAAGCTGGCCTCCATTTGACCATGGCATGCTTTCGGTGTGGCCCTCGCCCTTTGCCCACGAATATCCACATGTGCATCTTGCACGACATCCGCTTCGTCGTAAGGATGCGAACCCTGGACCACATGTAGCATACGCTTAGGGACAGGTACGGGCCAGTATTGGATGCAGTCTGCATTGCCCCCACGCGGGCCCTCAATCGCTCGGGTTTGCAAGCTCCAGCAACCCTGGCATTGTTTTCCTACAGCTCCTTCAGTCTGTTCCCCTTCAGGAGGCACCTTGAATCCGTGCCTCAGCCCAAAGGTCCAGCAGTGGCTGCAAGTACGACACCTGCTTTCCGAGATTCACCACCACCAACGATGCCGCTGAGGCGGGACTCGGGACATCTCGGAACATATCGAGTGTCATTTTGGGAGCTTAAGGGCGAGTGCATTGCACGCTACTGGCCTGCTTAGGCGATTTCGCACGGCGCCAGGGGAGGCGGGGGGCTTTTGAAAGTCGATCGAAGCAGGAAGGCTCAAGAAGATGTTGGGTGGTTATGCGTTAGTCATTTCCGGTGCTCAGTTTCTTAGAAGGACTCTACAGGCTTATTGCAGCATATTGCAGCCTACCGCAACAATTCGCACTGAGGTGAGGACGCAGGCAGATGCACCAATTGTTGCACCCTAAGTCTTTTTTCACTCTTTGATCCTTGCTCCTCGTGCGTCGGTGACTTGCAACAACAAGATGGAGAGAACAGATATGCAAAGATATGCAAAGCGTGAAGAGCTGGAGAGCGCTTGCGAATGGCTTGCGGGCACTTTCTCAGGTTCTCACGGCGCGCACAGCGCCCCGCAGCCCCGGGGGAGGCGGCCGCGGCGTCCCCTCGGAGGCAGGCACCGTTTTTGATGATTTAAAGAAGCGTAGCCACAGGCTATTTGCGGCCTCTTGCACTCCTCAGAATCTCCAAACAGCCGTGGCGCAAAAATCGAGGTAAGGCCACACAAGCGAGACCACACAAGAATACATTCAAGCAGAGAGTTGCATCGATGTTTTCAAGACAAATTTCCCAATTTCACTCACTGTGTCTCTCCTTCCCTCCCTCTTTCTCTCTCTCTATCCCTCTAGCTAGTCGGCTTCCGGATGGCTTCTGGTGTAATCTTATTTCATCATATTTCTCAAGTGTGAGCCTGCATGTGAGAGTGAGTGTGTGTGTGTGTTCAAATACAAAGCCAGGCCAAGGTGGCCATGGTCGAGCAGACCCTGGCAGATCCTTGGAGTAGGTTGGCTTTTGGCCTATGTCCCAAATGACTCTTCAATGACATGATTGTGACACCCACAGACGGTTGCAACTTTAACGGAAATGTGCACTTTTTGTGCACAAGGCAATGTTATTGTTGAAGGGCCGATTTGGTGCATCTTTGGCCCAGGAGCTGGAAAGGGCTCTTGGCCTGGCTGCAGAGCACCCTGGCAGCCTGCGCTTGAGGGCCACCCCACCTCGGGTTGATCCAACCCCTGTGGAAAACTGGCATGGCATCCATGTGTCATATGGATTCTGCGATCGACCTTGTGTTGTTACAGGGCTAAGGGGACAATGCTCCAACATTGCCTATGCTACTTGGACATTCCCTGCGACAAAGGAACAAGCAGCTCATTGTCGAGAAGTGAGAACGGATGAGGCCCGCATAGTAGCAGTGGATTCGAGATTTCAACTTATCGTACCAAGTCCCCTCTTGACGCTGCTTTTGAGGCACAGCAACATCTGAGCGGAACCGTTTCACTTAGAACAGGAACCAAAGGGTTTCGCAGTCACAGGCCGCTGGAGGTTTCCATTCAGCAAGAAGGGGGTTCTGAGACAACGCAGGAAGTGAGGGCGCTTCTGATCTCGGACCAAGGTCGGCACTTCGACATTGCAGTTGAACTGTTCAGCTCATTGAGTCTTCTGCAAGCAACATACTCAGGTACTCCGAGAACAGACGTAGCCATTTCCACAGCTGCCACAGCTGCCACAGATATGGCTAAGCTGCTGCGAAAGGTGCGCAACTTGCTACGACTGGAAACCTTGCCAATCGAGTGTGTCCTCTCAGGCCTCTTTAAATCGAGCACATTGACAAAGCCCGATGCAAAGACCGGTTAGAGAGACCCGAAACGGACACCTAGTTTGCCTTCGTGTCAGGTTCAATTCAGTAGACGGAGAAAGGGCAAAGCAAAGCTAGCCGAAGCTAGCCGACCGCCGCATTGTCCATTCCGCTTCTGTTGGACTTCCAACAGCCCACGGCCGAACAGCTCAGAGCATTTAGCCGCCGAGGGCTCTGTGCTCATCACACGCCGCAGCTCAGCTCAGAAATGTGCACTGCGAATGGAACCGTGCTGCAGGAAGGGATCTGTTGACTCTTACAAAAGAAAGTACAAGATGCAGACAAGGTTCAGACTCTAGCTTTCACTGACTTTTCGTTTGCTCGGCATCGTAAGTCCAGGCAGCACTTGGGGCCGTGCACTTGCAATCTGCGAACGCGACACAGCACAAAGCAGGCTTTCCCTAGCAGGACTCATCAGGGAGGCCGCTTGCGCAACTTCTTGGTCGGTCCGGAACAGCGAGCTGCATGGATGTTGAACCCGTGTGCAAGCCAAGCCATCGTTGACTTCGGGTGATTCCGAATGGGGGCCGCCGCAGCTGTATAGTTCTTCAGGCCTCGATAAAAGCAGGTGCATAAGTGCAGCACGGAAGCTGCAGCATGGATACTGCGCCTGCGCCCCCCGACGCCTTCCACCAAAACCACTTCTACGCCTTGAAGAGTTGACCATTGCCACGCGCCCTCAGCCCCTAAGTCTAGTCTCACAGACATGAAGTATGACTCAGTATGGCTCAGTATGACTAGTCTGTAGGTACGCTAGACCAGATATATGCCATGGCACCCAGATGGCTGCGCCCATGAGCTTGCCTATGACTGCAGGTCAGGGGTAAGAGGCATTGACAATGTAAACCCATGAAAAACCAAAAACCATTTCTGTAGTTTTCTTCGGGGTGCTGTCAAGACCGAGCCCGCAGGCACGATGAATCCATGGAGCCCAGGAGTTCCGATCCTGCAGGCCACGGATTTCTCATCGGACACGTGCCATGCGCAGCGCGACGTTTCACTCGACTCTGGCATGTGATGAGGTTGGGTGTTCGCTTAAAGCTCAGATCGCTGCCTGTTCTCAACGCAGACCGCAAAGCCTACGGCTGCCGTTGGTGGAGAGCTGTCCTCCCTCCTCACCGAGGCTCTCTCTGCCAGTGGTTCTGGTAAGTCCTGGTGCTTGAGGTTAGGGGGCCCCCGAGAGCAGATGACAAAAAAGTAAGGTTGCACGAGACCGTGCTGAAGCGGCAGAGCTTCGGTTGCGGCTTATGCACCAGGCTCGGGGAACTTGAAGTAATTTGTGTGTGCCTGCAGTCTTGCTTCGGCGGCGAAGACTCTAGACTGACTCATGTTGCGCGGACTTGCGGGTCAGGGCACCCACTCCTACATAATTACTCCCACTGCAACTGCTGGCAGTCGACGAGTCCACCGGTGCAGGCATCCACGGTGAAGGTCACCAGTCTCAGAGTTCGGGAAATCGAAGACGGCAAGGCATCCAAAGTGATGTTGGTGCCTTTGCCCATGCCAGGTGCAAGATGCCCCACAGCAACGTCTGATAAGCTGGCAGCCTCCGGTTCAGGCACGGCTTGTTTGGTTGTGTTTGGTTCATGCTCTCCAGGACTCCAGGATTATCCTGGTAGGCCACTCACTTTGTGCAGACGTAGTCAGTTTCACAAAATCAGGCCACCGCCCCGGCAAACGCGGCTGCGGTCACAGAAGCTGCCATGGATGTGCCTCGAAGCCAATAACGGCAGGTAGACCGGAGCTTTGTTTAAGAGCCTGTTGGCCTTCTGGGAAAGCTGTGGGGCTGAAAGCACAGAAATGGGGTGGCTCGGAAAACCTCCCCGGAAAGCTCATGGGATTTTCAGTGTTTTGCACGCGTTGTGTGGATGTCGTGAATGAAGGCCCTTTTCAGTTGTCGGCTGTTTGTGCGAAGCACCCGATAGAAACAAGAATGACGCACAACTTCCGTGCATGAACGTTCGTCCCCCTCCACGCCCCACGCCCCAGCGTGCTTCACAACGCTGTTCCAGGCATGCAGCTACAGATGCAAAAATTGAGTACCTGCAACCAAGGCATGTGCTGGCCAAAGTATGCTTTTGTCACCTCTGCATGGGTCTCCACAAGTATTTGTGCCCAGGTGCGGGCTCGTTTGGCCCGTCTCCAACAGGAGATCGCCCGAGAAGATGAGCAGGAGGACCATGGCGTGAGGTTTTTGAATCGGGGGCTACGCTTGAAAGAGTATAGGAGTATAGTCAGTATAGTGATGCAAGAATCTCGGATGTCTACGTGCTGTACAGAATCTTACAAGACCCAATGAATTCAGTGATGCCAAGAGCATCGAAGTGTTGTCGCTAGCTCTGAGAGTGAAATAGAACAGAAGCTTTTTGTTGATGAAATCTCCGTGAGGCGTCTCAGCAGTGTGCAGCAGGCACGGCTGACAAGCGGCCAAGGCGCGAGTCTCAGATCTTCAAGTCTGTCCTCGGTGGACTTCACCCATATTGCACACATTGCCTGCTCTCACCCAAGTTCAATCTCGAAGGCTTCAAATCAATTAGGTGCAGAACTCTGCATACGACTTTTCGCAAGCGATGTTTGCAGGCCTAAAGCCTCTGCAAGAACCACCGTCCAGAGGCAATGTGGGTCTGACTACGAGTATGTGCTCTGAGATTAAGGATTTCAGTCTGTATCGCAACTGCGCGCCAGGCGGCCCAGGCAATCTGCCGAGGCCCCTGGAGAGTGCCTTTCCCAGCAATGCAGTACGACAAGAGCTCTCTGAAAGCACCCGGAGGTGTCGCGTCAGGATGTGTCAGTGGTATGTCACGGTGTCACCTCCACACTCAGGCCACGGCCTGCACGCATGCGCCAGCGCCAGTCGCGGCCAACATCGCCAGCATCTTCGCAGCGGACCACGGGTGTACTCTGTGCACTTGTAGAATCAGCAGAACATTGTGGAGACTTCTGGTGGAGAGATGTGGAGAGGGCCTGACCTGAAGCCTGTGCGTTCTCCAACATGCCAGCAGGCAGAACATCCCTGTTTGAAAGGTTGGCTGCAAAGCAATCGCTTTCTGTGATTCGCCCGTGTCTGCCTGGCTGAGACTGACTGGAGGAGCTACACTTCAACGCACAGCGGTGCCGCCTTGCGGACGTGCACATCTGTGCCAGAGTACAGGCCCATGGGCCAATGGCTGATTAAGTTTTCTAGATTCTTACAGTCGAGCGTAGGGGCTGTGATGTTTGAAAAGAGCGGAGCAAAAAACCCAAAAACTCACATGACTGACATGCTCAGACTCGCCAGGCTGAAGCCTCCAGAGCCGCAGTTTCTCTTCAGCCTGCCGCTGAGCGTCTACACAGGTGCGGAGCAAGATGGATGGGGAGCATGGAGTTGCGTTAAGCTTTAAGGAGTGCAGAGGAGTGGTGCCCCACCCGCTTTCCCCAAGCTCCGATGCAGGTCCAAAGCAACTTGTCGACCTCACCTTCAAGCCCGGACGTGGTGAGAGCCGTTCGGGACTTGAGCTAGCGCGAGGGGGATGCTGAGCAGAAGGTACATACTCGTAACTCGTGCATCTCACTGTGCCGTCTGTTCCAGGTCTTTTGACCAGCGGGAAGCAGAGTCACTCATGGTTACTTTCACGAGCTATCTGGAGCCTTGCGAACGGTTTGCACCCCGAATTGAAAGCCTCTGCCTCAACCCAGCTTGGCTGAAGTACAAACGAAAGAGCAAAGCCCAAGAAGCGATGCCAAGGCTCTCCCAGCCCGCAGTCTCGGAGAGCCAACGGTGATGCTATAAGGAGCGAGAGCAGTCGTGTCTAGGACTTGAGACATCTCGAGACATCGCGAGACATCGGGGCTTCAGTCGCTGTTTGCTTGATTTGGTTGCGGGCCTTTGGGTCAGGGAAGTTGAGAGGTGCTACTACGGATCGTAGTGTCGAAAAGCCGGAAATGACCGCTCACCGCCTCCAGCTTGCACTGCTTCTGCTCTGCAAATCTGACCCGCAAACTCATTCCGCATCCCAACTGCCCTCATCGAGCAGGAATCCCACGCGCCGTTCCGCTGGAGCCACGATCCCAGACACTGCCCAAACAAAAGTAAGCTGCTGCTGCTGCTGCTGCTGCTGCTGCTGCTGCTGCCGCCCAGAATGCAGTTACCAGGATTGGGCATGGCGAACGGAGGGCGAATTGTTGAAATCAGATTTTGTTTGTTTTGCTCCTTGTGTCGGGGGGGGGGGGGGGGGGCGCGGGGAAGGGGGGGGGGGGGGGGGGGGGTTGGCAGGTATATATGGTTTGTTATTGCCATTGGCAACGTTGATTTCCACCATTTTGTCATTGCAACCTATACCCCTGCGGATTCCCAGTCATGCAGTAGGTGTTGTACTCTATATTTGTGAGTTTTGACACTTTCAATTCTTCTAGCAGAATGTTTGCTTGAGCAGAATGTTCCCCGGCTTTAAAGGGGCCATCTTGTAAACACAATGCACGGTGCTATGTCCTACATCTGTTCGCTCTTTCTTTGCAGCCACCTCCTATTTGCAAACGTGTCACATATTCAAAGGACTCGTAGTTCGAAGCTCAGTCGTTGCAGCAAACGTGTGCCACACCCGTCCCTATTTGCAAACACACTGCTTGTATGATGGGGTTGGAAGTGGAACTTACAGGTTTTGAAAGATCGTCCATTGATGGCAGCGGGGGGTGCGGGGGGGTAGCCCACCCCCACCCCCCATTCGCACGTCACATACCGTGCTCGTATGATGGCATGATGGGCGATTCCGAATCTATGTTCATTTTCTTAAAAGCAAGTTTGCACGGCTCTAGGGGATTATAGGGGAACCTCCCCCCACCTCCCTCCACCTCCCCCCGCTTTTTTCCCCCCCCCCCGCTTTGGACCCCGCCCCCCCCTGCCTTCCCCCCCCCCCCCCCCCCCGCCTTCCACCCCCCCCCCTCCCCCCGCCTCCCTCCCCCCCACAAAAAACAGCAAAAGAAGGAGCAAACAAAGACTCTCCACGCATTGCCAGACATGCCTGTGCACGTTGTCTAGTAGATGCATGGTGCAGCAGAGCATCGGTGTGCCGTCTCTTGATGTCGTGTCAGTAGGTGTTTCAGTGGTTTGCGGGTCCCATGTCAGTGGTGTGGCTGGATGCAGGGCGCTGCATCATCGCTGGCAGGCCAAACACGACATGTAGGGGAGCGTAGGCGTAGTCTCACGGAAGGTCTCCTTGGGGCAATCGTTGCAGTATGGCTCCGATTCTTGCTTTCGGCAAGGTCTTATAGGTCTTATAAGGCTTTTTTCGGGAAAGAAACGAGACTTCGCCTTGATGAGAGGCTGCGGGACACCGTCTTCCGCTGCTCAGTCTCGACTTCCGGCACAAAGGTGCGCCAACCCACTAGTGTTGAGCATCGTTTTGAAATTAGAGTAATCGCAATGTGAGGGGGCTTCGTTGCTTCGTTCTGCATGGGCCATCATCGCTCCGAGCTACGGGTGGGCCACTGCTGTGTTAACCGTAGCCTCAGGGGTGCTGCCACATGATTTGGCCACGTGCGCTCCCGGGGCACCAGAGGCCGACCGGGCGCTTTTGCCCGAAGTGCGTCTTGGACTGCTCTTCCTGACCGCTTGCTGCGTGATGATCCTTGGGGGCCCTGCTGGGCCTGGCGATGTAAAGTGCGCCGCTAGTAGCTGTACCATGTCTACTCAGTCTATTCAGTCTACTCGTTGGGTGCTCTGCTCGCCCTCGGACTTCAAGAGCGGCTTGCTTCGAGCTGTTACTTGGGTTGTTGCCGCGCGATGTTTAACTCCTCGAGCAACCTGCGGGGCTTTGCACTTTACGTGTGCCTCGCGGCCTCTTCCTTGTATCTGTTTGCCCTTGCTGGGCTGTTGGTGCCTTCCTTATGCTCTGTTTGGTTGGGGCAGCTCGGGTGGTGCCCTTAAGGGGGCGGGTGAGGCTTGGCAGAGACTTCGTACAATTCAGCACTTTGAGCCGGCTCTTGGTGTAGACACAATGTCCGTACACGGTCACGAGTCACCAGCACTTTCTTTGGCCGGTGCTCTCACAGCGATTTGCTGGCTTGAGCTGTAGGCGGAAAGGCGATGACGTTTACGGAAACGTCGGCACGGCGTTGCAGTGAGCGGGTGCCAACACTCCTTCATTCGGTCACGCATTGCCATACAGATTACTGACAATTTCAGACACTTGCTTTCAGACTTACAGAATTTTCGACGTATGTCGTCTTAAATTCCTGTCTGGCATGCCCTGCAACTGCAAAGCAGCCCTGCAACTGCACAGATGTTTCAAGGATCACATCACATAATCCATGGGTCCAAAGAAACTTGTTTTTAATGCCGCACTTTGCAACATGAGAAATGCGGATGTGCCCCGTATCACCAATGCTACCAGCAAGTATCGGCAATGCATTTGGGAGGCTAAGCTTGATTAAAACATTTTGCAGTTGGACGGCTTGACCATGTTGTGTTCCAGTACGTGTAAGGCTGGACAATTGAGCCGATTCGCTTAGCCCTTTGTCAATATCCTGTGCCCTAAGACGGTAGAACTCGTTGAATTTCGGTTGAAGCTCTCATCTCGATGCGTTGCGGAGGACAACAGCGCAGACAGAGCGGCTAGGCACGCAGAGCTTCTCCTCACACTCAGTTGATTTTTGCACTCCATCGAGACTCTTCAGACTCTTCCAAGACGCTCATGTCGGGTTTCATTGAACCTGCCTGGGGAGGTGTGTCGCCACCCGTCTCGCCGCGATCCTCAAGCCCATTCAGCGTGTATGGCGCTGAGCGCCCATGGCAGGAGAGCCACAGCGAGCTTCCTGTTGCTGAGTTCGAGGTCTGTCACTGCTGTATTGCTATCGATTCCCCAGTACAGCTGCGGGACCCCGCATTTCGGTTTTTTCTTCTTGCATTGTACGGGCAGTTGAACGGATGTTGGGGTAACATACGACCGCATAGACCACAACGCCTGACGGTTTGTTCACGGCAGCTGACCTTTCTGAGGTCTCCCGCTACCTTTGCTTGGCCGCCTTCAAACCCTTCGAACCCTTTGAACCTGCAGGCCGGGCCTCTTGGTGGGTCCCCTGAGCGAATTCAGAATTCACAGGGCAGTGCATCCTTTAGGTCCTGACCGCAGTGCCCTTCTTTGACTTGTGCATCAGGCTGTGCCGGCCCGCAGCACCTCTCCTCAGAGGGTGCGCCCCAGGGGATCTGAGTCTGGATTTCGATTTATCTGGCAGCTCTCACCACACTTCCCTTGTTCCAAGCCGCTCACAGGTTGTGTCTGCTCCGCGCGCCGTGTCTCCAATGCAGGCATGAGGAAAGCTGTAAGTTTGCTGCAGAAGCACAGCTGGTTTGCAGTTGCTTGACAACAGGGTGCCTTTAGTCTTTAGCAGCCGTAACTTGCAGCACATGTTGGCACTTGGGTTCCTGATGCCAAGCACAGGCGGCGCAGAGGCCTGCTTCGCCTCAGGCGGAAAGACGTTCAAACTTGGACTCGTGCTTTCTTGCTAAATCACATGTTGCATTCCACGCTCCAACTCCTCAGTTAAATTTGTGTGAGCAGGTGTTTGCACCGATGCGGTCGCCCTCCCCACAGGAGGGAAGGGATGGACCAGTGGCTGTTCTTTCGCACTTCCTCGGTATGCAGGCAGTGTCACTTCCTGGGGCAGCAGTGGCTCCGCAGGCGGTGTGGGCCACAGCCGGGGCACATTCCTGTCAAGCCGGGAAGCCATCCTCTGTTCAGAGCAGCTGCTGTTGCTGCATACTGTATAGCAAGAGAGACTTGGTGGGATGCTGCTGCTGCTGTAAGACAATCGTACAACAATCATCCCACGGCCTTGCCTAACTTCGCCTGAGGTCGAATGCGAACACATTGTAAAGTTCCTAAGCAAAGGCTTCCCAAGTAACGGCTCGGACCCCGGCCTACAAGGGCCCCCAAGGCTCAGTTCGGCTGCCGCCTGCCTCAACAAGCCGTAGTGCAGCTCTCGGCGACCCCAATTGCCCTGAACTTGAGATGTGCGATGAGTTGCGATGAGTCTCTTTGAGGAGTCTACGAGAAGCAAGCTGGGTTTCCCATCGGGAATACTGAGGTGCCCCGAATGGCTTCGCCTCCTCGCATGGCTTTGCCAACGCCTGCAATCCCCACTATGACATGAGCCGAGTGAATCTGGAGCTGCATGAAGAGCATGAGAGGTATAGTATTTTGGGGTATTGAAAGCGCGCTCAAATCGATGACATGGATCTCACGCAGACATGCCACTTAGTATCCAGCTGAGATACCTAGAGCCTTTGCACGTCTGCAATCCAGCCGAGGCCAGAATTTATTTCAAGTGAGATGGTCGCAAAGAAGGCCGCAGCTTAGCCTGTCACTTGGCGTGCGACTCGCCAAAGTATGCACCTCAAGAGTGGAAGACTTCATCAAGACCTTTCCCGGCACCGAGCTCTTGATCCAGACACATCTTGGCGATTGCACTCACGAATGCCCCACCCGCAATGCGGAAATTC